TAATTTTTTAATACATTGTCACCACCACTCCTAGGCAGTCGCACTTTAGGGCATTTTAGGCAAGCAACTATTGTGCACCTAGATGGAGAAACAGCGATTGCCTGCATGGTAAAAGAGTGCTTTTTTTTTGGGCAAACATGCGATGATTTTATCAAACTAAGGGATGACACAGACTCCGAGTCATAGCGAATATTTTTACATATAAAATATTTAATTTAATTACCATAATGAAATTAGTTTCAACCAAAAATATGTATTACTTGGGCACATTGTTTAACATATAAACAGTTTAGTCTATGGACATGACTTGTTATGCACCCAACTAGATTTATCTTCTGACTTCATAACAACTTTATAGATAATTTTTTTAAAAGTAAATGTTTTAGATAGAATTTGCAAATTACCATGTCACCTTGTTTGAAGCTCAGTTCATTTATTATAAATCATGCCACTATGATAGCAGAACAAAAGAGTTGACATGAACTGTTCATGCAAATCTTGATAAATAAATACACATTTGTTGTTCGAGCATTATAATGTTGTCAAGCATCTTATGAGAACGATACAAAAATTTCCCAAGTCAGATGGCAAGAAAAGATCCATGCAAACAATATGAAAATGTCAGGATCTATGGCTTCTTGCTGTTGTGTATAATGTATATATGTTGACAATCTGTTATATTGAATATTAGCTATATTCACTTTAGGCACGTACCTAGCTATCTTGTCATATTAAGGCATAGGACCACCTACATACTTTGATTATTTTGTTACAACAACCAAATTTTGTAATGGACAGAAATGCTAAAGCTGAATTTCTAAAGTCAGAAGTAATACACTGAATCATCAAAAAGCAAAAGGTAATATGCCCTCATAACCAACCAGTACGCAATAGTACAGATTGGCTGAATGAAAATTGGCAATAGTACGGAAACAAGTAACCACTTCAAAAAATTTAGAATTTCAACCTAATTGGTATAAGGATTACAAGACATTAAGGAAGTGCACTGCTATTATTTTGAATTCAGAATTTGGAAGAAAATGGTGAAGTCTCTACATAAGACTGATAGGCATTTAGGAAAACAAAAACACACAGTTATATGGTCTTTTTGGAACTCGCTAAGACATTTAATTTTCGTAATGTTATCTCTAAGAACAAGATATGTACATACATTTAGTACTACCAACAGATCAAGGTCTTAGATCTCACAATAATCGAGCATTGTCATAAGATGGACATTCTCTTAAACAGGGTATTTCATTTGGGATATAACACCAAACTAAATAAGTTCCGATGTGACCAGTATAGTCAAAGGTGCTAGGTGCTCGCCTGAGCAAAGTGAGACTCTCGTGAATATTAAAATTAAAAAATATAAATAAGGAGAAGTACGGTTAATAAAATAAAATTGAGATAAAAATTAACTATTAGGAACAATTATTATCACTACAAGAGAAAGATCGAAAGGAAGAAGATGGAGGAGAAGCTTAGACAAGGAGAAGAAGAATGGAGGCTATCGGTTGGGAGGGGAGAAGAAGAGGAGGAGAAAGGATAGGGGGCAGTCAAGAGGGAGCATGAGGCTCGATGAGGAAAAGGAGAAGGTGACAACAGCAAGAGGGGAGCTATTAGGGAGAAGGAGGGAGGGGGAGGGGGGCTCTCGGGGAGTCTCGAAGAGGGGCGACAACGATGGAGAAGGGGGAGGAGAAAGATGAAAAGCAACAAAGGACAGAGAATTACTGCAAGAAGAAGCAAGTTCGCCATTAGCTTTTCCGGAGGAGAGGGGTACGCGGTGGGAGGCTCATCTGGTTTGATGGAACCAGAAGAAACGTTAATTGGCCAAACCCAATATCACTTGGTTCAGGTGCGCACACTTGGGCTCAAGTGTGCAGTCGCGCCCAATTGCAAGCGCCCGACTGAGCCGTGCCCAATTGCAAGCACTTGCTCGAATCCAAATCGAGGTGCTTGAGCCTCACCTTGCCTTGCCCCACTTATGTGAGTGCTTAAGCGCTTGGTGACATCCTTGGGTGTGATAGAAAATGTACTCTGAAAATGAGTAGCTATGTTCTTGCCTATCAACATCTAGAAAGACAAACCAAAATTTAAGATTCAATTGCTTTAGTTTAGGTTGAACTGTCCTCAACACAATTTGTGATAGCGCGAGAGAATTGGAGTGGTAAGAAAACAAGGATCATGCAGCATGTAAATAGTATAGAGAGAATAAGATTTCTAGGAATGTCACATTACAGACTAGATAGATTAGGCAATGCAATTATGACCAGTTCCCTAAAGAAAGAAAAGAAAAGAAAAACAAAAAAATTTGATAAGCTTGCTCTCCTTGCCATCATATACTTTTGACATCTAACATGGCCTCGATCTCAATCACACACACAAGTTGCTCAATATACATCAACGAGGTTCAATTTAGTTAATTAAATTTTCCCTAAGTCTTTCTTTTGAAATTTTGAATCATATAATTTGATAGACGTCAAGCAACATAACTAAAACACCCATAGAAATCCTAAGCCAATTTGGCAGGTACTGATGCCTCACAAAGCAATAGCTGACAAGGTTTTAAATTTAGGCCACACCAAGTGATTTGGTATGGTTGGAGGAAAAGGACTTTGGCGCCATATGCTACATGCATTCCTTGCACTACGCAAAGCACAAATTGGCCTCACCATAATATCAAATGACCAACACTGACTCTACATAGCTCAGTAGAAAATAAGGCAATCCGTGCAACCTTTTTTTAGAAAATCCATCCATCCTAATTGAAGAGCTACTGCAAAAGATAGCTCTAGAATGTTAAAGAAAGATACAAGATGTATTAAAAAAATCCAGAACAATGTTAAAGGCCACACAAATAAAATGTAGAACTAGAGAAACCATGAACAATATTAAGGGCCATCATGTGTGCCAAAATGGAACTATTAATGGTCCATACTGCCCATATTGCGGAGGTTGTTGGCAGGTCGATATGTGGGCTCTAAGATGGTTAATGATACAATTTACATCACAACAAACTGCTGCTACTTTGCCTTGTATCGGTTTGCAAGCCCAAACCCAACACCAAATAACCACTCCTTTGATCTTATATTCTCAATAGCTAACCGTACATCAATGAACGAATGAAAAAATAATAACATCAGTCATCAGTGATTGTCATAGCTAGTCATAGGATGATTTAGTCAACCCAATTTACTGACATTCACTAGAAGTTTCTTTTAGTAAATCTAGCTGCAATAGCAATCTCCTTATAAGTGTGAGCAGGATGACTTTGACTCCTTTATCTCCACTCTTCCTACAATGTCTATTCCAGAATGTTTGAAGTTAGCGACATGAATCGTTTTTTGTTCTACCACTCTGTATTGATGGGAATATCACTAGTCAAAGTAAGGGCCATAATATCACCATCGATACAGCTAAGTCTTTCTCTGCAATATGTTAAACTTAGAGCACTGGAACTCAACTGCAATATATTAGCACACTAATGCTCTAAGTAACCTTGAAAGAAAACATAGACAATGCACACAGGAATGTGAAAAAATAGACAATGGTTTTGCTACTTGTAGGACAAGAAGTAACATAGATGTAGACAGGAATATGAAAAAATAGACAATGCAGATCAACTAAAATCTTTGAGTGTGTTTCAATACCTTGATGCAATTTCTGAGAGTCTCAGATGTCCATCATGCAATGGATTAAATGAACCTGGCAATATCACCATCCTCTCTGAAGCTGTGTCCTTATCTACAAGCACAGATGCCTGTTAGCTCACAAATATTAGAAGCAAATTAAGTTTTATAAGAAGTACAAGCAAATTAAGTTTTGTAAGATGACAACAAAGAATCTAACTATTTTCACAGTACCACCAGAAAAATCATAAATCTTCATGCAAAGCTTCCCATCAATAATTTGTTGTAGCTCCTCATCCTCATCAACTTGCCTTTCATATTCATCGGGTACTTCAGATTCATACAATTCTGAACTAAAAGTGGCAGAAACTTTGCAGGCATCTGAAATTGCCTTTCAAAATCAGGTAACATTTCATCAGGATAGCTGCAAATTATACGTATCATAAAAACGCAATCAACAACTAAGAAGCTCAACTGCAACATTACAGCTCATACTTCGCATAGAAATTAACAAAACTAGTACGATGATAGACTACAGCAATACTACATGAATAAGAAGAATAAGTCTCAAAAACAATAAAGTAAAAGAATTCAGAAGCAGGTATAGACTGAACTGTTACATCAGGTATGTACCGGTCCAATGGCCTGGCAGTCAACAGCATAAACCGTGGCACATGCCACTCGACTGTATATACTCAATCTTAAAAGGTTCCATGGCACATGCTGACGTGCCATGTGTTGGTATACCAGCATGTGCCAGACCAATAATGGTCAGGCCAGCACGGCGCCAATATCCGGAACATCAAACAATGGTTAGAAAGATATATTTAACTGCACTAAAAGGATGATAAATAATCAAGTTTCCATAATGCATATCATGATATCAAGTGAAGCAATCAGAAAAGTATCAGAAAAAAAAGACACAAAAAAAAAATTGTGTAGTACAATAAGAAATGAGCACTGCTACATTCCTAATAAATGAGTGATAAACAAAAGCTGTGTGCATTTTGAGAAAGAAGTGAGCACTTTGGTTATATTGCAATAGGGTAGTAGCATATATGCAAGTAGCACATATTGCAACAGACCTCTAACAACAAAAGTCACTCAAATAAGCCAAGTAGCATATATGCAAGCACAATTATTCTATTTCTTCTTCCTCAATCAAGCTAAATCTGCTTTTCGATCTAATTCTCAAATAATCAATACAAGTAATACATAACTTACATCACTAAGTTCTGAAAGTGCAGTACATCTCACATTGGTGTCATACAAGCACACAGCATTAGTGCCATTGCCAATGATGCCATATGAGATAACATTATAAAAGTATAATAACTGTCCTTGCCAGAGTATGGCACAGACTATGGTGTGGTTCCATATTACCACAATACATATAATGACAAAAGCTAACCAACATGGGCACAGCATATGGCACCTTAAACAACCAATCAACATAAATTGGGTATATAACATGATATCATCAAGGAAACAACAGAAAGTGAAAGTTGTATGGCCTTAGCTCGAGAAAAAAGAAACTTGCATATAATGGATCCGATTTCTGTCTCCCAAAATGCTCCAGTAGTAGTGAGCCTGTTAGTTCTTATATACCAATCCCCCTTTTCAATATCCCACTCTTTGCACATATTTCATCTCAATGAAGTAAGCCAGCAAATTGTGCATCTTGTAACTTTTTTTCTGATGTAAAAGACATGCACAGAATAGGTCTTATTTGATAGCTCATCAAGTCTTATTGATCCAAATCATCATCATGCATCAGGCATCCAATACAGACTAATACATCATTCTTTGAATGATATAATGCTTATCATTATATGATTCTGATGATCTAGCACAAAAAGACAACACAAAAAGCAACAGTTTGAAAGTAAGCAAACAATAGTTAACACTTAATAGGAAGGTAGCCCAATATTACGAAACTGCTGAATATTGGCCTATCGATTATAATTAGTTTATAAAGAAGTACTCATCATTTATGTTCACATTTTGAAATCATGCAAAAACGCATAATATTATACCTTTAATAAGAAATGACTGGAAACCCTGTCTTCTTCTTCTCGAGTTCGCAAACCCTAATAAAGACAGTTCTTAAGTAATATAGTATAGTAGTAAAAACAAATCTAGTATAGAAATATTATCCATGAATACCTTCAACAAAGTAACACTTGATGTCCAAAGACGATCACATGTTCGGGTAGACAAGTAAAATCTGTATGACAATTAAAAATTAAGTAGGAAGTCAATATAGACTGTATGATCATCAAAAGATATGTAGGAACATGACATAGAAGAGTATTTTACTTGATCTGAAGAAATGAATCACTAGCTGTATATGATGCACTTTCATGTTTAAAAAGGACAAGCAACCATACATACTAGTCTTTCGTATCCTCTTCAAGAATAAATGCACGAATACTTCCTGTGTATTCCATAATTTTGTTTCAATTGAGCATAGACCTGAGTTATATAACATAGTTGGCCAACTAAACAATTTAATTCTTTTCGCCAAAAAAATGGTTTCATAGACTTCTGAAGAAACATATTTTATTTACTGTCCCAGGAGCACACTGACTCAATTACTTCAGAGAACATATTCATCTACACCAAAATTGAATTCAACCACCAAATGACAACATCTCAATTCCTATGAATAGAAAATAAAAGGCAACAACAATGATACCTGTGGTCTCCATGTTTTGTATATGTAGTAGCCAAGGACCCCGTAAATCCAACACCCAAAACTGGTAAACCTGCTTTTCCAAACATAGACTGAAATGTGTTGATCACATAAGAATATCCATAATTGACGTATCAAAAAGCATGGTTTTAAATACTGCAAGTGTGCTGCCAGGTATAGAAGGCACAAACCAGTCCAGGGCGAGTTGGTATGCCAATAGACTAAAGTCCACCTCAGGTTTCAGTAGCCATTTATCATTCTTTTTTGGTTGAGTCCAACTGTTATGATTACAACATCGACCAGTATATACTGGTCAGATTTTGGGCTTGGTACAAGTACCAGTGCCAGTTTTTCTAAACCTTGTCAATAAGTATGCCCAGTTCCCATCAAACCCACCGCTAAATAGATTAAATAATCTACAAGTTGATGTTCAAGGAACAAAGAAATCTTCAAAAAAACATAATGATTTTGCATTATAAGTAGAAAACAATTTGGAACTGGAGTTCCTTTCTTTCATTCAAATGTATATTGGATTATTACTTCAAAAGTTGGAACTAGAGTTCCTTTCTTTCATTCAAATGTATATTGCATCATTAATTTAAAAGTTTTCATTATTGCCTCACAATCATTAGGATCAAAATCCATTTTCTGATCAAAATGGATCAGCTAAAGTTCATGGTTGACAAGTAAAGAATAACCCATGGAAGATTATTGTATAACGACTTCTGGAGATAAGGAGAGAGAAGATATAAATAGAAGAACCAGGAAGAGAGAAAAAAATCTAGGCCAAAGTGCTGAATATTAAGGATTGCAATATCGTACCGTACCGGAGTTTCGATATTCGCTCGGTACGGTACAGTACTGCATACCGAGCGGTATATATATATATATATATATATAAAATACCGCCCGGTAGCGAGCAGTCTGTGTACCGGTCTGCTGACGGATTGGTACGTACTGCTCGGTACGAGGCGGTATTATTCGAAATTGAAGACCTTACTGAATATATTATTATTTATCTGTAAAGCTTGCCATAGAAAAGAAATTCAATATCCTTATATGTAATCTAGAACTTAACCTCAAACTTAATTGTAAAAACAAGAGAACCACTATTTAACCAAATCTTGTCATACTAAGATTGATTCCTAAACCTAAAGATCTCCAAACACAACTTACTTGGACAAATTAGACACCTAAGGTAAATGATACAAATGATCATTCAGAAAAAAAAAGTCAATAAAAAAAATAAGGCATTGGACAGAAATGTCACCTTGTTTACACCAGTGTCTGCTGTACCGAATCATACCGCCTGGTATGGGCGGTACATACCGGTCTGACAGGCCAGCGGTACGTGGACCGCCCGGTACCAGTCCGCACTATAGCAGTACAGTGCACTGTTGCAGTGCACTGTAGCAGTGCTACAGTGCTCAGTACACCTGGGTGTATCGCTCGGTACACCGTACCGTACCGGTACCGAGCCCAGGTTGAAATACCGGTACGGTACGGTATTGCGAACCTTGGTTTACACTAAAAGTTGACTCTAGCTAGATCTAACCTTCATCACCTTCTTGTTACTTCAATTATGGTCTTCATAATACTGTCCATCTTGATCTTAATTGAACAGGATGGCACCACTTCAATGTAAAATGATTGGTGG